GTTGTATCACACACACCTTCTCGGTATACTCCATTAGGAAGCACACACACACACACCCTCTTTAACCACCATCATCCTTAAAGCTATAATTACGCTCAACAACCACCACTTGAATAAAGGATCAATCATATCAGTGAGTCTCGTGACCATTAGTCTCCTCTTCTTATATAAGTGGTATTACATTTTTTTCACGAATTCTCCACTTTTATTATCATGTCATCCCCCAACGCTGTCAATCAACCTCAAAGCCCCACCTCGGACCAAAGCTCTGACCCTATGGATTATGGATCTCCTTTGTCATCTGCAGCCGATCATCAATCGGTCTCCTCTTCTGCACCAACCGACGCCTCTTCTACTTCAAGCTTGCAGCGTGCCACTAACGCTATTGATCGTGTTACCGTCAAGTTGGCAAACTTGGCTGAACGCTTGGCTGATGACGACGTAACTCAAGAACAACGTCATGCGATCCATCAAGAGAGTCAACAATTATCCAAGGATCTTGAGGCTTTGAAGAGCATGTACAAGAAAATGAACAAGAAGGATAAGGTTTCCAATCATTCCACAAGACCGGTTGTGCCGCAAGACTTGCCCACTATGCAATGGACAGGCAACGTTCATGACAAGAACAAGCTCGTTTTTGGTTCCGTTGAACAGTGTCTCAATCGTTTTGAGGACGTCGTTGGATCTTACAACCAAGATATGGATGAGGCTTGGGGACGTTTGTTGCCAAGGATGCTTTCACCCGAACAACGATCTTGGTACGACGATAACTTGCGTCCTTACGTACATCTTCCATGGAGTTTTGCTCGCAAGACTTTGATCAAGAAATATGGCATACACGATGGCGAACGCCAATCTCAAGCAATGTTCGATCTTTTGCATATGGCTATGGGTACCAATGAATCTGTTGAGTACTACACAGATCGCTTCAATAAGACAAGACGCGAAGCCGGATTGGATGACAACTTAGCCATCGCTGCTGTTTACACTAAGTCATTGGTTCCTGAACTTTACAAGCACGTTCGTTTGGCTCAAGTAAACCTTCCTGTGGAATTGCGTTCAACCACGGAACAAGCTGCCAATGTTGCACGAGGATTGTACGCCACAGTTATCGGTGCCACCAACAAGCTTCAGGTGACTCAAAAAGCCAAGATGGATAACGGCAACCATGACAAGTACAAGAAGCAACCTGGTATCAAGAAGCGCTGCCGTCTCCATGGCAAAGGAAATCATTCAACTGATGAGTGCCGTCTCTTGTCACGTGAAGTCTCCCATGCTCAAGGCAACAAAATCAAGAAGCCCAATCCATCTTCTTTCAAGTCTCAACAAGACAAGCGCTGTTACAAGTGTAATGAATCATGGCAACCAGGACACATTTGCAAGACCAAGATGGCTATCCGCTCCGCCCATTTTGCGGGAAACCAAGACACCTGCACTTCTGCTTCTGCCACCACGGTTGAACACACCCTGATTGACCTTCTTGATGACATCAACAACGACGTTGATATGGAGGACGCACAACATCCTTGTGCACAATGTAAGTTCATTCGCATGGCTTCCCATGCCACACAGGTCTCTTCAGATCTCACTCACACAATCTACGTGCCTATTATCATACAGGAGCACAAAGCCTGGGCCATTGTGGACACTGGTGCAACTTTATCATCTATCACTCCTTCTCTCTCATCCAAGCTATCTACACCAATCATCCCTTCTTCGGGACACATTGATTCAGCTGCATCCGGGATCTCTGTTCCCCGTACTGGCACTACCCCAAAAATAAATTGTACTTATGATGGCAAATCTTTTGTGCATTCTTTTGAAATCTTTCCTATTAATGCTGACGCTGATGTATCCATCGGTACCGATCTCATGCCTAAACTTGGGATTTCTATTCAAGGACTTGCTACGTCATGGGAACGTCCTTCACCACCTTTTGCTCTTGATTCAAACATCGAGATGGATAAGCCCAACGATTCACCCGCTGGCACCACTATTGAGCACAATGAGCTTCTTCACGCCATTCAACCCGCTCTTAGAAAAATGCACAAATACCTGTTACTTCTTTTTGCACCATGCCTGAGTCCGTGGTTTACCTTGACACTGGTGCTGCACCACCTGTTTATCGTCCTCAGTATCCACTTGCTGAACATCTTTTACCTGTCCTTGAGGAGCAAATCCAAAAATGGCTTGCTGACGGTCTTATCATTCCTGCACCACCTCGTAACGGATGGAATAGTCCTTTGACGGTCGCTCCTAAAAAAGACGCACAGGGTAATCCCACCAATTTTCGCCCTTGTCTTGATCCGCGACATATCAACAACCTCTTACCTGAACATCGTTATCCATTACCTCACATCGAGCAAATCTTTCACGCACTTACCGGTGCCACTGTTTTCACCACGCTTGATCTCAAGAGTGCATTTCATCGATTCAAGATCCATGAACCTGATCAACACAAAACCACGTTTACCTTTCGCAACAGACCTTATTGCTTCCAAGCATGTCCCTTTGGTCTTAAGCATATCAGCGCGATATACTTATGTCACCTACAAAAAGTTGGCTCCCCCCAGCTGGAGTTGAAAAAAATTGTAGGCAGTTGACTTAGACAGCGCCAGCCTACAACTCCACCAGCGTAAGTGTCCCTCTCCTTTTACCATTCCAACCTTTCAGATTCAAGATGTACGGATTACCAAGTTGCGATCGTAAACAGCTTTATTCCAGCAGTTGTATATTTGTCTACTCATACAGCAATAAACACGCTTTCAACTAAAAAGACCTGTTCTCGTAATGTTACGCCATTGTCAACTTGGAAGGATCTTGGCCTCGATCTTGACACGCCATCTACAACCAGCAGCCGAACCAATGGAGCGAATGGCAAAAGGAGCGAGCAGAGCCAACATGTACAATACAAGGAAAAATAGTGACAGCAGCAAAAACGTCGACAACGGCTCGTACCATCACACACGTTTATTATCTACCCATGATGATTTTGCTGGTGCAGGTTTAGTACAGCAACTGAAAAGGTCAACAATGCATTACGAGCGGCGAAAATCAATAGAAGAAGGTCTGGATCAGTGATAAGTATATTTGTGTGATAAAAAGTATATGGGATCATGTGAGATAATATATATGGGATAAGTAGAGTTCTATATGCGCTATTGGTTTTGACGTTGGAATCATGTATTGCCTGGTACAACAACATGAGACTCCCAATCGGCATGGATGGCTTCGAGATGAGCGATGGTGCGTGCATACAAGGCTGCTTGGTCTCTACCAGGGATTGGATCATTCAAGATATGGCGGACTCTTTGCATCATGGCCTTTACAGCATCAAGGTCGGGCTCATTGTTTGTATCGGCAGCATCATTTGCAATGTTTGCATCAGCTTGCTCGATAGGAGAAGGAATCGGAGGTGATGATGATGATGGTTCGGTAACAACAACAGGTGCGGATGGATTATGACTTGGTGAGTCGTTGTTGCGGGATGATGAGGCGGATGAAATTGGAAGCTCTGTATATGATGCGCTATGCTCATGCTTGAGTCTAAGATTGTCGTAGCGTCGTCGAAGGATGTACATATGTTTGCAAGCGTGTTTGCTTTGTTGCTGCAAGAAACTAAGGCATGAGCATGATTCAATTCTGTTGCCAACGGTTACAAGCTGTAGGATAGGCTATGGTTAGCATCATCATTAATAAAATATGAATAAATACACTCACGTCGTATTTGATGGCATTGTTATTGAACGATGCTACTTGGTATTTGCCATCTTCAACAAACGTAATCTTTAGCATCATCATTTCTTCATCCATCCTCTGCGCCTCTCGTGCTTGTATGACGGTTTCACGGTCTTGGTTAGTCATACGACCGAGCTTGTATCCACGACGTTGGACTTCATGCTTCAAATCCGCTTCAATGTCATGCGCGATCAAATGTAACACGTCGTCAAGGCGATAAACCCGGTAGCGTTTAAGGTACACGGTTTTCAATTGGTTGTGCCAAGACTCAACGTAATTGTTGGTCGCCATGTTGTTGTACATCACAGGCTGATGACAAGCCGTCCAATTCACATACTTGCTATCATCGATCCAATTGCTCTTGAAATACGCGAAGAACTCTTTTTGGCGATTCTTCCACTTGCTCTTGAACTGCTTCCAGTGTCGTTGGAAAGTTTCCTGGTCACGCTCATACATCATCATCTTGAGATCGCCACGCAAAACAACCAAATCATCCTTCCTCTTTTTCTCCTTGCTAGACGCCTTGGCGTGATACTGCTTGATCCATGCACGAAACACATGCCACGTACAATATTGGATGCTGACATCATGATCCCAAACAGTCTCAATTGCTTTTTTCTCTACAAGGCTGTAGTCTATTGTCACCTTTTTTGGTTTAATGCCCATGGCCTTCAAGTCAGCAAACCATTTCACCAAAGGTACATGCGTCTGATCCGTTGTAAAAAGGTAGCTGATAGGCATACCACGATCAGCTTCTGGATGCCGTATCACAATTGTGTACAACAAGCCATTTGGGTATCCTGTTGCATGGTGTGTGGCATCAATGGACAAAAACATGGCGTACTGGAAAAGATGTTTCTGCCATGGTGATGAGATGGCAAAAGAAAAAGACTTGTTCTCAAGTGGTGCATATCGCCAAACAGAAAAGGAATGCTGCTCAAGTTCCGTAAGCCAAATGTTGACAGACGTAAGATCATCAGCATGCTTTTGCGAGCGGTTGACGCGCCATTTGTGGATAACGTTGTATACATCAACAGTGCCAATGTTCTTGTCACGTTCTGTAAGTGGGAGAGAGCCCTCCTTTTTCTGCAAATGCAATCGGATTTGGCGTACATCCTCCATCTTGCCTTCATCCAGGAGATCTCGGATTTCTTGTGCCACATGTTTGGATAACGACATCATCCGTACTTCTTCAATCGATCCAGGCTCACAACCATGCGAATGCTCTTTTACGAACACCGTGAACTTGACGTCTTCCTCAGGATGAAAATAGATTTTCAGCCGCCCTTCACAAGAAACCTTCTTGCTCTCCTTTTGTACAGAACGAGGCTGCTCAGAATCACCACCCTCGTCACGGTCATTGCGTTCTTGCTTGAAACCAGAACGGTGGCAACGGAATAGCATGTTCCATTTCCATGATGCTGTACGACGGCGCTTTGGAGCAGGCGGGGCTACATACACAATGTCAGCCATCATGCCGCAAACCATTCTTTACATGTACTACCTGAATTATCATCATCATTCCCATCACCTTCTTTCTCGACAAAGTTGTAGTTGCGTACATAGATCCATTCTTCCTTGGTGTTATAACGCATGTTCTTGACTTCTTTCTTTACCTCCCCCATCGTAGTGGCATTCTTGACATCGAAGTACGCATCGGCAACATTCGGATCGTCGTCAAGGCGATGGTCAATGGAGAGCCATTCACGTTTTTCAGGTTGAGCATTCGAGTCGTTGTCAGACATTTTAAAGGACAAGTACAACGTACAAGACCTCGCACACCACGACTCAATAAAAAACTTTTTTCGTGTTACAATGCATCTTCTATAATATCTCATATCTTTATTGTACCATCATTTCCTATATCCCACTATGTATTGCATATTCCAAGTTACCCTTTACCCGTTGCACTAATACTACAACTACACTGAATAACGACAATGTGTGTACTGCAACCAGTATCATCCTATATCCCTTGACTGTACTAAACCTGCACCAGCAAAATCATCATGGGTAGATAATAAACGTGTGTGATGGTACGAGCCTTTGTCGACGTTTTTGCTGCTGTCACTATTTTTCCTTGTATTGTACATGTTGGCTCTGCTCGCTCCTTTTGCCATTCGCTCCATTGGTTCGGCTGCTGGTTGTAGATGGCGTGTCAAGATCGAGGCCAAGATCCTTCCAAGTTGACAATGGCGTAACATTACGAGAACAGGTCTTTTTAGTTGAAAGCGTGTTTATTGCTGTATGAGTAGACAAATATACAACTGCTGGAATAAAGCTGTTTACGATCGCAACTTGGTAATCCGTACATCTTGAATCTGAAAGGTTGGAATGGTAAAAGGAGAGGGACACTTACGCTGGTGGAGTTGTAGGCTGGCGCTGTCTAAGTCAACTGCCTACAATTTTTTTCAACTCCAGCTGGGGGGGAGCCAACTTTTTGTAGGTGACATAAGTATATCGACTAGCGGCCCGGGTTGCTCGCTTCGCTCGTAAACGTCGATTTTGTGTGGAAGGGCTTATCATTAGGGTGCAAAAGAATGCATTGAGGAAAGCATGAATAGGATTGCTGGCTGCAGGATCAATGTGTAACCATGGAGAAGGTATAGTGACATTGGATGGAGAACCTCACTGTACCACCCACTCACCCACCGCCACCATCACCCACCACCACCACCAGCCACCAGCCACCAGCCACCAGCCACCACCACCACCAGCCACCCACCCATCCCGGAACATTGTAGTGAGCTATAGAAGTGTTACTTGGGATTTCTTATCATCGTATGGTCAATGGATAGTACTTTGGTATATTGGATGGAATGATGTGGCTATATACGACGCGTGAAAAAGAGCTCTGTTGTCATGTATGTACCCGTTACCATCATGCTTGATGCTATTATTCAGAACAATTGGATCATACTTTACACTCTTTCGACGACAGCTACAATGCTACAAACATCATCTTTTGTGCAACATGTCAACGATGCATGTTTTGGCACGGCATGTATATAATTCATCACTACGCAAAAGTGCCACTGCATGCCCAGCCATTCACCTTTGTCCCATATCGATTTATCTTCGCTATTGGAGTAATTTGGTTGCTCTCAAAATCATACCCATTGTATCTCTTCTTGTGATTAAAGACGGTGATCGGCTTCAATTACTTGTAGGACATGATCATCCTCTGGTAGATAATACCAAACCTTCTTGTTACCGTACTCATTTGCCTTTATCCTTTCAGCCTACGCGTCTGTATCCTTGCATTCGTTTTCTCACTCATGACATATAATGAAGAGGTTGTAATGATTTGCTGCTGATATGACCAACGTATTCGTGTGCTGAAAAGCGTCTCCCACTTTATTGTAGCTGTTCAGCCTACTTGTATGTGTCTATTCTACCGCCGAAAACGCGAAGGTTGTAGCTCCATCTCTTTGCTGCTGCTGTTCATTGTCAAGTAGCTCAATAGCAATAGCAACCAAGAAGTAGAGTGGGTAGTCAATAAAAGCGTAGTATTCAAAGTGGTGTTGTCTTACGTGTAGCCTTGGTGCAAAAACAGTGGGAAAGCTTCGAAAAGAGATAGGTGTGTACGAAGCGTGTCTGCGCATTACAAATGGAGCCGTGAATTACATGTTGTCGTCAATGAATCGTTGAACTGGTTGAAGCGATAAAGCCAAGCGAGTAAAGTAAAGGATAAAAAGATCTGTTTGTGTTGTGAGTGAAAGAGGGGGAGGATTTTTCAGTTTGTCGGGGCTCACGTTGCCATGCGCATAAGGAAGGTCGTGGCACCACCCACCATCCATCCATCTACCTATCGACCCATCCCCTATCATATTAGTCAGTTACATGGCAGCTACAACCATCATCTTTTGTATGCATATACACCCTATCAAGTGCCACCTCACATCCATCCATTCATCTTTGTCCCATATCCATATAGCTTCACCACTGGAGCAGGTCGTTCCTTCTGGATGTCGCACCCATTATCCCTTTTTGTGGATGTTGTATAACAATGTTGGCATTTTAGTGAGATTGTGCAACTCCACCTTCCTATTTGATGAAGTGAGATGTGATGCATGCAGAAGAAGGAAACCGGCTGGGCTTAGCACCTTGTAGCACCTTGATAGTGTAACAAAGTGTAACTAACGTTTCCGATGTAAGTGTCAAAAGGAATGTGTTGGAAGGGATTACGATGATATGGCTCCACCAACAATAAAGAAGTGTATGCGACGTGCTGTCTTTGGAAGATTCGAGTGATTTGTGTAATGGTGATGCCTTTATTGTGAGGAAGCAGCTAACTCATGGCTCACCACGTGTTGAAAGTGCTAGAAAGTTGTGACCATGGAAGGCATGCAAGTGTCAAAAGGAATGTCTTGGAAGGGATCACCAACAGTGAAGAAGTGTATGCGATGTGTGGTCTTTGGAAGATTACAATGGTGCGTGGAAGGTTCCAGTGTTTTATGTAACGTTGTTGCCTTTTTTATGAGAAACAGGCTAACTCGATCACGTGATGCCTATTTTTTTAATAATAGGCGGGGGATATCAGCGCGGTCTTTCAGAAATGCATGCACACTCTTCTTGATGATTTACCTTTTGTTGCTACCTTTGTTGATGATGTGGTTATCTTTTCCAAATCCATGGCGGAGCACCGTGAACATGTCATCAATGTTATTCAACGTCTTACCGATGTTAATCTTATCTTGAACGCCGACAAGTGTCATTTTGCTCAAAAGTCCATTTACTTACTTGGATTTTGCATTGATGCTAATGGTCGCCGCCCTGATCCTCGCAAGTTGGTCAACGTTGATGAGTGGCCTATTCCTAAAACAGGAAAAGACATTCAGCGTTTCCTTGGTCTTATCAACTTCTTTCGCTCGCACTTACCTCTTGCTGCCGAGCTCACAGCACCTCTCGATGCTTTACGTAACCATGGATCTCTTGCGAAAGTTTGGCAGGATGTTCATCTTGATGCATTCAATAATGTAAAGGCTGCACTTCTCGCTGCTCCTGTGTTGAGTCATCCTGATATCACTCGTCCTTTCTTCGTTGCTACTGATGCTTCGAATCATGGTATTGGTGCTGTCTTGTATCAAATTGACCCTGACACCCAAGCACGCCAGTATGTAAGCTTTGTTGCACGCGCTTTGACCAAATCCGAGCGTAACTACTTTACCACCAAACGTGAGCTCCTTGCTATTGTCTTCACCTTGAAGAAGTTCCATCAGTTTTTGTGGGGTAAAAAGTTCACCTTATACACTGATCATAAAGCGCTCATTTACCTTCACACGCAACCACACGCTAGTCCTATGATTGTCGGCTGGCTCGATGTCATTTGCAACTATGACTTTGACATTGTTCACCTTCCTGGTATCCAAAATGTGCTGCCGGACCGTCTTTCTCGTCTTTTTGCTCCACAAGAGACATCGCTGACGCTGGAGGGGGGTAATTCCCAATTTAAGTCACCCTTTGCACACAGCATTTCCCACGCAGCCACAAAGCTCATGCATCGGTTGTTCAAGCCAATGGAAATGATCACACCACCCGAGGAAGAACGTACCAAGTTACCCGAACAATCCCATTTGAATGGCCATTTCGGTGCTGACGCCATAGTGAATGATCTTCACGACAATGGTATCTTTTGGACCAATATGAAAGATGACGCCTTGAAGCATGTCGGCAGTTGTCTCCCTTACCAACGCTACAACATTGGTAAACATGGATACTATCCATTGCGGAGCATCAACGCTGATGGACCTGGTGATCATTGGGCTATTGATCTTTGTGAATTACACTGCACCACTCCTTCTGGCAACAACTACATTCTCGTTATGGTTGACGTCTTTACTCATTTTTGCGTTTTACGCCCTATTCGCTTTAAATCAGCCATTGACATCGTTAAAGAGCTTTCTTCGGTCTTCAGCCTTTTCGGTTATCCAAAGATCATACAAAGCGACAACGGTAGCGAGTTCAAAAACAACTTTGTTCACCTTCTTTCCAAGCACACTGGCATGGATCATCGCCTTGTTACACCATATCATCCTCGAGCCAACGGCTTAGCTGAACGTATGGTTGAAACGGTTAAGACGGCACTCTTCAAACGCTTAGAGGGCAGACCTGAAACGTGGGATTTATACCTTGATAGTACCATGTACGCAATCAATACCAAACACCACTCTGATCTCAAGACTCGTCCCTTCGCTTTGATGTTTGCTCGTCAACCCAATGCAATGCGTGATTATTCCCAAGCCAAATCAGCCAATCCTGCCGAAGTCAGGAAGTCCATCATGAAACGTATAAAGGAAATGGAAGATATCGTTATCCCTGGTATCCACGAAGGTCGTAAAGCTCGCAACGAAGTCACCAAAACACGCTACAACAAGACGCATCGCATGCACAAAGACATTCCTATTGGTAGCCAAGTCATGATTGTCAACATCAATCGTAGCTCCAAGACCGATCCAATTTATGACGGACCGTACATCGTGCATTTCAGGACACCCAAAGGCAACTATGTCTTACGTGACAAGATGGGCAAGCTCCTACAGCGTAACATTCCTCCGCATCAAGTTAAACGTGTCTCAGATGATCCTAAAGCGGATGGTGACACCTTTTATGAATTCGAAGCTATTGTCGATCACCGTTTGCATGCACAACACGGCTATCCAGAATATCGTGTGCATTCGCGAGGCTACAGCGATGAGGACGACACATGGGAACCAGCTGAAAACTTTAGCGATATCTCAGCTATCAACGCCTATATCAAACGTCGTTTTCCAAATGGTATTCCATCAGATGACCCATTTTACGCTGCCGCACCAAACAATGACGGTGCACGAGCCACCAAACGCAGACGCACAGGCACATCATCACGCACTTAAGAAGCAGTCTTTTCCCATAATTTTCCCTACATGGTTTTTTGCTGGGTTTTTCTGACAGCTTACACCCATCATCACATGAGGTTCACAGTGCAACTCTTTCTTTCCATTTGCGTCATCCTTATGTTTTATCTTTTATCTTTTATTATTCTATATCACTTATCCTTTGATCCTACACATCCTACCTTTTAATCTTTTCATCGGTTGTTCCAACCTGGTGGGGGGTAATGTTGTATCCTGGTACACATTCTCACGTTTGTCAACCTGCTTTCTCTATCATACGATGGAATTCCCCTATCACCCGAATGAAGGTTTACCTTGTCATCACCAACCTTATCCACATTGGTCACCTATTGCTATATACGTACACGCTTCATCACTGTAGCACCCGTTGCATGGTTGTATCACACACACCTTCTCGGTATACTCCATTAGGAAGCACACACACACACACCCTCTTTAACCACCATCATCCGTAAAGCTATAAATACGCTCAACAACCACCACTTGAATAAAGGATCAATCATATCATTGAGTCTCGTGACCATTAGTCTGTTGTGATTGTTGGTTTCTCCGCTTGCCTATGTCAATGATTCTCCATGTCAATGTCTTCCCTTGTTTATTTGCCTTTTGGTTTCTCCTTCAATCGCAGTATCATTATATAAGTCATCATTCGTAGTACAATAAAGAAGTATCATATTATCTCGCTGTATAAGCATTATCTCTCCTTCATCATCTTCCTCTTATCTTGACCATTGAATTCCTTCCATTCTTGGTTAAGCTTTCGTACAAGTCAGCCTCTTTATTACATGGTGGAGAAGCCTTCCTTTGATCCCCCATACCTCTCATTCAATTGCTATCCTATTGCTATCCATTTGCTATCCAAGCTCCAGCCCTACTCCACCGCTGATTAGATGGCTTCTCAAAGCAGACATGCTCCAGCCCTGGTGTCTCCGGCTGATACCAGCAATGCATTACTTAACTTGTACTTCGCCTCGGAAGCTAAGAATCTTCCAATTCCTCGATTCAATCCTTCGCAAATGAATGTCACTCGTTGGCTCCAAAAGTACAAGGATGCTACTGACGATATTGCCATGAACAATGCTGCCAAGAGTCGTTACCTTTCTTACTACTTACCTCGGCAGATTTCCGATTGGCTCTACTATTCTTCAACATCCCACGACTTCGATAGTCTTTGTGCCTTGCTCATCGATACGTATGGTGTTGATCCTGCTGCTGATGCCAATCGCCTACATAAAGAGCTCCAATGTCTTAAGCAAGATACAATGCCGATTCGCCTCTTTCGCGTCAAGTTTGAAACAAGCGTCCATTCTTTTCCAGAGGGTCATGCTCCATCCGATGCTCGCCTCTAGGATATCTTTCACTCAAACCTCAACCCACTTCTTAAAGAATTGGTGTCACCATTGCTGTATGGGTTGACCGATTGGACTCAAGTCTATGAACGTGCCGTTTTTCATGAGGATCGTCTTTCTCGTCGTCAACAACAACCAGCTCCTACCTTACAGCAAACGCCTCTCCAGAATGATACGGCTACTCCAGCCTTCAATGACCCGATGGAGATCGACTCCCTGGATTATACACGTCGCAGGCAACAAAGGCGTCCTCGCAACAACAATGGTGGTAGACAACGCAACTCGCACCGTTCCTCTGATCGTCAACAATCGTTTCAGTCGTCGCGTTCCAAGAATGTTGATCCTATGCGACGTTGGGCTGCTCATGGTGTACCGATTTGTGGGCATTGTAACCAAACGGGTCACCTCACCAAAAAGTGTTATAAGAAGCAACAAGTGAATGCGCTTTCGCAATCGTCTTCAACGTCACCAGTTGTTTCTTCCGCTGACAAGTCATCCAATCAGCCTCAAGCTCCTTCACATATTATTTGTGCCCTTACCAAGTTCTCGGTGCCAGGGGTTTCCTATTCTGGTCCTCGCGTATCATGCATGATTCAAAAGCATGGTATTCAAGCACTCGTTGATACTGGTGCCAGCATTTCAGCCATGTCCGCCGAACTTGCTTCCTCTCTTCAGCTCACGCCTACAGGCAATCCCATCTCATTTACGACTGCTGATGGTAAAGCAACTTCGTCGTTGGGCATTGTTACTACTCGTGCTCTTATTGCCAGTATCCCAATCAACATCACCTTCCATGTCATCAAGGAGCTCTCGCATGAACTTATCCTTGGCTATCCAACGTTGCGTTCACTCAATGCCGTTATCAATACTGGATCTGACAGCATCTCTTTTGTTCCTCCTCACAATGATCGTATTGTTTCACGTCCTGTCTCTATTCGTGCAATCAATAAATTGCAGCTTCCTGCATACTCGCATGCCTACATTGATGTCTCTGGTCCTTGCAATACTACAGCTTTTCTTTCGACTCCGGCAAATCAAGTCGCTCAACACCTTTGTGCTATCGCCACTAGTTTTGTTCAATTTTCTTCTTCTGGTCATGCTGTGGTAAAGGTGGCTAATCTCAACAATCGTCCTACTCGGCTTCAGCCTTCACAAGCGGTTGCTGTTGCTGAAATTGTTGAACCAGCTTCCATCCAAACCACCACATCAACCACAACTTCACACTCCAAGCCTACTCCTGCACCATCCGAAGATGATCTCAATCAAGTTATTGATCCTTCTGTTTCCGATCCTGATCGCGTGGCTACAGTATGCGCACTATGCTTTCGGAATTTTTGGATTGCTTCCAATCAACGGCATCCTCAACAACTCACGCCATCCAACATCACATCGACACAGGCTCTTCTCGTCCCATCTCATCACCTCCTCATCGCACTTCGGCTGCTGAAAATGATCTTATCAGTGATCTTGTGGATGACATGCTTGCGCAAGGTATCATTCGTCCAAGCCATTCTCCTTGGTCTTCACCTGTTGTCCTTGTTCGCAAGAAGGATGGAACTCCTCGCTTTTGTGTTGATTACCGCAAGCTCAATGCCGCCACTACTCGTGATGTTTATCCTCTTCCACGTATCGACGACACTCTCCACAGCCTTGGTTCATCTCGTGTCTTCTCAACTCTTGATCTTACTGCAAGCTATTGGCAAGTTGAGCTTGATGATGAAAGCAAGCCTAAGTCTGCATTTGTGTGCCGTCGTGGTCTCTTCGAATTTGTTCGCATGAGTTTTGGTTTATGCAACGCACCTTCCACTATTCAACGCCTTATGGATTCAGTCTTGGCCGGGTTGAAATGGCAAATTTGCCTCGTCTATCTCGATGATATTATCATCTTCTCTCATTCCTTTCAACAACATTTACATGACCTTCGCCTTGTCTTTTCTCGCCTTCGCCAAGCTCATCTCAGCATTAATCTCAAGAAGTGCCATTTTGCAAGCAAGGAAATCTCCTACTTGGGTTATCGTATTACTTCTGATGGCCTCAAGACCGATCCTGCAAAGATCCAAGCTGTCTCTGCTTTTCCACGTCCAACCAATCCTGATACTTTGCGCTCTTTTCTTGGTCTTGCTGGTTATTATCGTTCATTCATCCGTGGATTTTCGACTATTGCTTCACCTCTCAACGCTCTCTTACATAAGGATGCTTCCTGGCAATGGTCTTCCCAACATGAACAAGCTTTTCAAGCTCTCAAGACTGCCTTGGTCACTACTCCTGTTCTTTGTTATCCGGATTTCTCTCAACCTTTTGAATTGCATACTGATGGCGCTTGTACTGCTGGAATTGGTGTTATGCTCTGTCAACGTGATCCTTCAAACAACCGTGTCCATGCTATTGCCTATGCTTCTGGTTCCTTGTCTCCTGCTGAGAAAAACTATGGTGTAACTGAACTCGAAGCTCTCGCTGTTGTTTGGGGTATGAAGAAGTTCGCTCATTATCTCACTGGTATGCGCTTTATTGTTATCACGGATCATCAGGCGCTACAATTTTTGCCTCGCTCTGCTGATTTGCGTGGTCGTCTTGCTCGTTGGGCTTTGTATCTACAACAACATGACTTTCAAGTTGTTTATCGTCCTGGTCGCGCTAATGCTGGTCCCGATGCACTCAGCCGTTTTCCTTTACCTGACATTGCTTCCTTATCCTTTTCCTCTTCCCAATCCTTTATCCAATCCTTCCTTTGTGGTCTTTCCTCTTCTGATCTTGCTGCCGCTCAACAACAAGATTCCTTTTGCCAATCCCTTTTATCTCTTCCATTACCTCAAGGTTTCTCTCTCGAGTCTGGTATCCTCTTCTTTGGCCCCCGCCCCGTGTTACCTGAATCTTTGCGTCAAGAAGTCTTCAAGCTTCTCCATGGACATCCTACTTCAGCTCACCTTGGTCTTTCTCGTACTTTACAACAATTCCAACGCCTATATTGGTTCCCGGATATGCGTACGTATGTGGCTGAACGCATTTGCAATTGTTCCATTGGTACACGTACCAAGCTATCTCGCAAGTCTTTTGGTCACACCAACCTTGTTCGTTCCGATCCACCTCGTCAACCTTTTGATACTATTGCCATGGATACTTTTGGTCCTCTTCCTACCTCTCAATCTGGCAATCGGTACATTGTGGTCACTCAATGCATGTTTTCTCGCTATGTTATCATTACTCCAGTCAAGGTATGCAACACTGATTCGGTTTCCAATGCTTTGATCCACATTTTCAGCGAACATGGATTTCCTCGGGTTATGCTCTCTGACAACGGTTCTCCTTATTCGGCTTCCATGTTACAAGTCCTTTGCATGAAATTGGGTATCACACAACGCTATTCTCCTGCTTATCATCCTCAATGAAATGGTCTCGTGGAACGTTTTATGGCTACTCTCAAGACTATGCTCATGTCCTACACTGAACAAGATCAACTTGACAACGTTTGGGATCGCCATTTGCCCGAATTTCAGCTTGCCTACAATTCTACCATACACGCTTCCACTGGGTACTCTCCATTTTCCCTTGTACATGGTCGTGAACCACGCCTTATTGGCCAAGTTGATTTTACACCTCAAGACACTTCTGCTTCCACTTATCGCCAGGTCACCGATGTTTATTTATCTCGTGCTCGTGGTGTTGTACAACTCGTCAATCAACGTACTCAAGCTGAGAATGCTACAACCATGAATGCTTCGTGTGGTGCACATACACACAATGACATGCACCTATCATCTATGCCAAA